AGCGCCAGGTGGGAGGAGTGGAAGTCGACGATGAGGACCTATGACATCGGTCTACCTCGTGTGCTAGAGCGCGAAGGCACAACGTCCCCGTGCCAGCCAACGCCTGCAAGCGTCTCTGACGCAGAAAAAAAGCGGGCGAGCGAGACCAAGTGCTCTTCTTGCGAGAGAACGCACCTAGGTACGTACTGTTGATGCTGGAAATCCTGCATGAGTTTCGAAGACAACCCAACCCTCCCGCCGCCCTGAATTTTAACATTGACAGGGAATCCAGTCCGAGAAATCCGGTAGCGCGAATCATTGAAATCCTGCATGACCCCAGGCGCCCAGTCAACACTGAAATTCAGGGGTGCGCAGGGGATGTGTGTACGCAGAGTGTTGTGTGGGTGGCTGGGGTCATGCAGGATTTTTATCATCCACCGTAGTAGTAGTAGTAGTAGTAGTAGTAGTAGTAGTAGTAGTAGTAGTAGTAGTAGTAGTAGTAGTAGTAGTAGTAGTAGTAGTAGTAGTAGTATGTAGTAGTATGTAGTTGTAGTAGTAGTAGTAGTAGTAGTAGTAGTAGTAAGAGTAGTAGTAGTAGTAGTAGTAGTAGTAGTAGTAGTAGTAGTAGTAGTAGTAGTAGTAGTAGTAGTAGTAGTAGTTGTAGTAGTAGTAGTAGTAGTAGTAGTAGTAGTAGTAGTAGTAGTAGTAGTAGTAGTAGTAGTAGTAGTAGTAGTAGTAGTAGTAGTAGTAGTAGTACCCAAGACACGTGGGGGAAGGGGTCACCCTCCCCACTCCTCCCAGCCCAAGGCACGTGGGGGGAGAACGGGGGCCCCACCCAAGACACGTGGGGGAGGGGGTTGCCCTCCCCACCCAAGACACGTGGGGGAGGGGGTTACCCTCCCCACCCAAGGCACGTGGGGGAGGGGTTACCCTCCCCACCCAAGACACGTGACCCAAATTTGGGAGATGTGGGGGAGGGGGTTACCCTCCCCACCCAAGACACGTGGGGGAGGGGGTTACCCTCCCCACCCAAGACACGTGGGGGAGGGGGTTGCCCTCCCCACCCAAGACACGTGGGGGAGGGGGTTACCCTCCCCACCCAAGACACGTTGGGGGAGGGTTACCCTTCCCACCCAAGACACGTGGGGGAGGGGGTTACCCTCCCCACCCAAGACACGTGGGGGAGGGGGTTACCCTCCCCACCCAAGACACGTGGGGGAGGGGGTTACCCTCCCCACCCAAGACACGTTCCACGCGGGGGAGGGGGACACCCTCCCCACCCAAGACACGTGGGGGGAGGGAGTTACCCTCCCCATCCAAGACGCGGGGGGGAGGGGTTGTCTCTCTGTCTCTCTGTCTCTCTGTCTCTCTGTCTCTCTGTCTCTCTGTCTCTCTGTCTCTCTGTCTCTCTGTCTCTCTGTCTCTCTGTCTCTCTGTCTCTCTGTCTCTCTGTCTCTCTGTCTCTCTGTCTCTCTGTCTCTCTGTCTCTCTGTCTCTCTGTCTCTCTGTCTCTCTGTCTCTCTCTCTCTCTCTCTCTCTCTCTCTCTCTCTCTCTCTCTCTCGCTGCCCTTCAGGGTTGCCCTCACCCAAGAGACGTGGGGAGGGGGTTGCCCTCCCCACGCAAGACACGTGCGGGAGGGGGTTGGGAAAGACACGTCAGGGAGGAGGTTACCCTCCCCCCTCCCCACCCAAGTTGCCTTTGGGTATCAAGGGCTTCTTCGTACTATTAACAGCAAGTCCTGAACTCTGCAACCCCAAACAACCCAAACCTTGCTCCTCCAAATTTAAACCCTAAACCTTCCTCTTCGGCGTCGAAGTCGCAGCGAGTCGCTTCGCGACCCCGCAGATGACGTTGTGGCAGTCGATGGCATGATAGCCCAACCTGAAAGCAGGCCAAACGCCAAGTGCAGCAATGCTAGGAAAGCGCGAGGTAAAATCAAAAAAATGTCGCATGTCGCCACAACAAGCGACCCAACAGGGATTGATTGAAGGCCCGTCTGTGAGGGTGATCATGGATGCGTCAATATGTGTCCCGTTCGTACCTGTGCCTCGGAAGCAGGTTCATCTCGTATAGATGCCGTGGAATTGAAGTGACTGAGCAGACACGCGACCCATATGTGTTTATACAAAAAAGATATAGATATACGTGTAAATAATCAAATAAAACCCATGTGTTTATGTATTTTTGGTAATCATAAATATAACCTTGTACGGAAATCCTCAACCCTATCGCGCAGCCAGCGCAAGTCTTTGCAAACAGCGTCCAACTTCACCGTACTACTTAAACCCTCAACCCTCCTCTCAAGATCTCAGCGGGAAGGGGCTTGTCCAGCTGTTCCAGGGCCGGTCCGCGGGCTTCATCGTGGCCTGTCTCAGCCTATCTCCCCCAACTGTCTGTACGCTTCCCCCCAACAAAGGTCATGACCCTGAGCCCGACAGGAAAAAAGCACTGAAGGCTCTCAAAGCCTGAAGCCGAAACCCAAAAACACTGAAGCCTTCAACCCTCAAAACGCTGAAAGAAACTCTCCATCAACCCTAGTCCTGAAGCCCTCTGCCTCACTCCTCAAAACATTGAACTTGCATCCACCGAAGAAAAAGTTTGCTCACGGAATTTCAGGGTTTAACTTAGGCTCGGAAAGACACACCTGCAAGCACCGTGGAGTGCCCGAAGCAGCTTGACAGGAGAACCTTGTTGATTTCCAGCGCTTAAAAATAGGGCTTCAGGGGCTTTAGGGACTTTAGGGAGTTTAGGATTTTAGGGGCTTTGCATAGGGCTTTCAGGGTTTCATGGATTCTGGGGGTTTATGCATTAAGGGCCTGAAAGCCTCGCGGTTCCCAAAGGCGAATTGGGGAAAAAGTGCCTCGCATCTGCCTACACAGCCCTTACAAGTTATATTCCAAGCCAAAAGACAATAATCTACTACTACTCCTCCTCCTCCTACTACTACTACTACTACTACTACTACTACTACTACTACTACTACTACTACTACTACTACTACTACTACTACTACTACTACTACTACTGCTGCTACTACTACTACTACTACTACTACTACTACTACTACTACTACTACTACTACTACTACTACTACTACTACTATTGCTGCTACTACTACTACTACTACTACTACTGCTACTACTATTGCTACTACAACTACTACTACTACTCCTCCTCCTCCTGCTGCTGCTGCTGCTGCTACTACTACTACTACTACTACTACTACTACTACTACTACTACTACTACTACTACTACTACTACTACTACTACTACTACTACTACTACTACTACTACTACTACTACGACTACGACGATGATGCCCTAAACCCGATTTTTAGGGCAGTTTCGGGTTGCAGGGTGGCCCTAAACCGGCAACTTCCCTAAGCCCTGAAACTCGAGACCCAGGATTCCGAATCCCCACGTCCGACTGCAGCGCAGTGGAGACGTGCTCACGATGCGCCGCCAGGGTCCGGAGCAGACCGAGGATCACCAGGACTAGGGTTTAGGGTTGAAATATTCAGGCTTGTGCAGGAGTTTTGGCTTTGCGGCTATTTGGGAATGAAGACTTTCTAGGGGCATACAAGGCTTCTGCGGCGAAATTAGGCATTTGGGTTCAGGCATCGGGATTTTTTTTATCAACTATCCATTCACGTCCAAGTAATTGTATTATCAAACCCTAAACCCTAAACCGCTCCAAACGAATCTCCTTGCAACACCAGCTCATGGCGGCCAATCCGAAAGACTCTCGGCTGGGGTTTTGGGCTCGAAGTTCACAGGGTTTAGGACTCAAATTCTGTTGAGGGTTTACCTCAAATTTCAAATCCCGCGCCCTGAATTCCTAAACTCTACACACCGAACAGCTTAGGGTTCAGGACTTCCGAGAAAGACTTTTGCCAATTTGCCTTGCTGTGGAGGTATTTGGGTTTTCAAACCTCAGGACAAATCCACACATCGTACCAACTTCTGCACTAAAGAGAATCGACATCCCTAAGCACTAAATCCCTAAACCCTAAATCTTATACTATATGACTCTAGGTCTTTGATTAGGGTGTAGGCTGCAGGGATTTCGGGTTTAGAGCCTGGCTGCGGAAGTTGATTCAGTAAACATTTTCTTCATTCAGTGGGCAGTTTGGGTTCTTGCGCTCCTGCTCCTTTTGGAGGGCATGCTCCACGTATGCGGCATCTGCTTGAATATCCACAGGTGCTTCTTCTCTCCTGTTACTTTTTTACTATCATTGCGATTATTGATATTTTTTGTCTCAACAAAGGATCTCGCAAATAAATATACACTTTTTTGTTTGGGGGTTTTTGAGCCATATTGAGCTCAGGCCTCCGAATGGATCATGGATGGACCCCTCCTCGCGAGCAAGATATGGCAGGACTGGGTGGTTGCGCATTGGGTCTTAGGGTGATCATGGGTGTTTATTGGGACCTGTGTCTTGTTGCAGCTATGTGTTGTGATCATGGCCCAAGCGCTTGGTCAGCCTGGTCAAACAGGCCAAACAAGGTGAGGCCACGAGGTCTTATGGAAGGCACAGAGGAGCGTGCGGAGAGCACGAGATTTGTCGAGCAGGCTGGCTCCGTGGACGAAGCGCCAGAAGCCGTGATTGGCCTTTCGCTCGGCCGAGACCGCAGACACGCTATATTTTGCACGTAGGTAGGATCAGTGCATGTGTGCACCTTTACCCACTTAAATCGTCTGGCCGCAAGCACCTTGACTCAGCCCAGCTCGACATAACTCTTCCCTGAGGACTGAACCCTATATAGTAGTAGTAGCAGTAGTAGTAGTAGTAGTAGTAGTAGTAGTAGTAGCAGTAGTAGTAGTAGTAGTAGTAGTAGTAGTAGTAGTAGTAGTAGTAGTATTAATAGTAGTAGTCGTCGTCGTAGTAGTAGTAGTAGTCGTAGTACTAGTACTAGTACTAGTACGTTGTTGTTGTTGTTGTTGGTGGTGGTGGTGGTGGTGTTGTTGTTGTTGTTGTTGTTGTTGTTAGTCTCATGATGCGAGCGGTGGTGCTGGATTTAGGCTTCGACAGTTATGGAGCAGGTTGTGCCCCCTGACGGCTCACAGCTGGGCATCTGAAGGTAGTAGTGACAGAAATGCTCGCATGTCCTGACTCCCGCCTTCGTCATGTTGTTCTGGAACGTGCGGGTCTGCTGGCTCTCGTCGACTTTGCATTTATAAGTCTTCTCCAAAAATGCAGCCAGCGGCACTGAACCAATGTGCTCGGGGACCGTGAACTGGCGGCCCTCTGCGACGTCCTCCCTGACGCCCACCACCAGCGTCCGCACCCGACCTTGCGGGATGCCGTGGTCCGAGGCTTTCAGGCTCATCCTGCAAGTCACCTTTCTGACGGCGCACTCTGGACCCGAAACCCTATGCTCCACACAAACCCTAAGAATGCGTTCTAGACGGCATACAGGCAAGCAACGTAGCCCGCATCATTCAGGATGCTCTCCCACTTGTCCAACACAGGCTTGTGCTGCTTGTCGATGTTCGCCACGTTTTCGAACAAGAAGGCCTCAACGGACAAGTTTGTCCAAGGGTTTGGGGCTTGGCGGCTATAGCGTTACTAGGGTTGTTCGATTCAGGGATCAGGGTGTGGTTCTGCCTTGGGCTTCTCGTCCAGTATCTTGCCGCAGCCATCTACCACGAGCTGCCCTCTCCCTTCCCCAAGTCCAAGGCCCTTCCCGGCCAGACTGTAAGACTGGCACGGTGCCGTCAGCATGTAGAGCTCAAGACTCTCCTGGCTTAAGTGCCTCTCTACCATGTTCACCGGCTGCTCGTACGCGGGCAAGTCCACCGCATCAGACACACGAGACGCCATGCGCCTCACCGCAGGGTCGATCTCGCAAGCGAGCATGTTCTTCACTGGGATCTTCAGGTCCATATTGGCGAGAGCAATAATCTTGGCTTCAGGCACAAACAGAAATGCAACAGCACATTGCACATGCGTTTCAGGCCGAGCTGCGTGAGCTCCGTATCCAGAGCAATCCGCCGCCACGCGGAGCTCCTTCGGCGGGGCCGGCGGCCCTTTCTTCTTGTTTTTCATGATGCTGGTCCGGACTTCCACTGCCTCCATTCACGCCGGAAGCACGCAACATTGACAGTTTCGGGACCGACCCTAAATTGTGTCGCCTAAAATGAACCATGGCATTCACCACTGTTTGCTCGCAGCGCCTTCTGCTGCAGCTTTGTCCACGTCCATTTCCCCATATTGTCTCGAGCGAGGCAACAAGGATGGCTTTTAGCTTGGGGCACAGACTGCGCGTCCAAGTATAATGCGTGCACACAAAGGCGCACGCAACCAACTCTCCTTGCTGCACGCAGGCTCGATCTTTTTTTGCTCCAGACGTTTTAGCAAGCATCGCACGGCATTTTGCCCAATATCGACACCTGCCCAAAATCAACACAAAGCTGACTGGCCCCCTCTTCAGTTTTCGGCTCACAAGCTAAACCTGCTCCCAAAATCAACACAAATCCGACTGGCCCACTCGTCAGTTTTCGGCTGACAAGCTAAACCTGCTGCGGATATCTGCGCATGACTCGCATGAGCAGTTCACACAAAACTTCGACTTTGGAGCCTGGCCATCGCAAGAAGCCGAAGTAACAATGAAAATACGCACTTTGCCACTGCCACTGCAAGCGCCCTCATTGCTGCAGACCCGGCCTTCTCCTCCTTGGGGTGTTCCTTTGCGTACGCCTTTCTCGCAAGCTGCTTCAGGACTGTGCTGCTAGCCAAGGCTTCCGGCAACGGCGCAAGGGTAGCATTGCCGTTGGCACACACAAAGCCCATTGAGCGCAGCTTGTCCCGTTGATCCTTGGACGCTTTCTGACTCAACCAATCTTTTCCTCCCCAAAGCTCAGCCACAATCGCCCAGCTTGGTGAGTCCTCGAAAGTCCACGGCAGCCGGCCGTCTACTTTGATGGCCTTCATGTTGCTGTCTTGGGTTGCCGGCCCCTCCGAACCGAGCCCGCGCATGCTGTAAGACCACACTACCCCGCAGGCAGGACGTCGCTCTTGTACAGCGGCAGTGGCCCCAGACACGACGATCGTTGGGTGACAGACCTTGCCCACGGACGCCGCGAGCCCCCCTTGCTTGCTTTTAGGTTGCCAGACCAACTTCACTCGATTGAAGTTTGTACTCGGAGCCGCATTCGCCAGGATGGCTGTGATGGCTCGGGTTGCCCTGGGCGCATCATCGAGGTTCTGCGTCAAGTCAAAGCTGATGACCCCCTTCGTCTTGGCATCCTTATCCTTCTTGACCGCCTTTGCTTTAGCCGTGTGTGCCGACTCTGCCCCGGAAGCTGCCTTCTTTTTTGAGCACACACCAAAGACCATGGAAATGCCGTGAGAAAGGGATTTCCTTAGCACTTCTGCCCAACATTCTCTCACATGCCGTGACTGATGCTTAGGGCCCTTGCGGCTGGAAGTGCTGCAGCAGAGTCGGCAAGTGCATCAGCTCGGCCTGACTATACTCCTACTCTGAGAACAAAGGGCCGGCCTGCCCACGCGGCGCCTCCTTCAGGATATCATCCAGCTTAGCTGCGGCGATGTCGACCATCTTTATTTTCTTGCCTTGTCTTCCGAATTCACTTCTACCTTCTGCAAAACACCACGTGTGCAACAGTAACAGGCTGCCGAGGAACAAGATCCCTTAGCACCCTTCAGCATTGCCAAGGCATCCGCTTGCTCACGTGAAGCTGCCATGACTTGGGTGACACTAGGCTAAGTGGAGTTCACTTGACGTTGAACCGCAAACTCTGGACGAAGGCTGTCCGAAACTGCACCGTCGAAGCGGCTGCACTTGCCGACCACAATCGAGTGTCATTTTGAAGACCCCGCCCTTTCCCTAAACCAAAAATCTACACCCAAAGACAGATCGAGAGAGACACGCGACACTTCTCGAGAACCAACCGAGCAAACCGGAGACCCTTAACCCTAAACTGAAAACCCCGCACGCACTGACGGATCGAGAGGCGCCCTGTCAATGAGAAGGATCGGAAGGCACACGCAAAGAGAGAGTAACTTCAAGAAGCCTGAACCAGCTCCAGCCTGCGCACATTAGGAAGGATTTGTGATTCGGCTTCTGAGCTGCACTCACTGGGTGACCAGACCTCTGTGGGACTGTGCGGATCTGGTCTCGGAATTAAAATTAGCCTCAGCGTCCGACCTCATCTGACGCAAGCAGTTGCCTGAGTGTTGACCTTTCAACGCTTTTAAGGCCGGCACGGCGTACTAATGACAATGATGCACACAGTTCCTGCTACTGCTCGCTCTTTTTAAAAACCTGCAGACTTCCCCTACGGGCTCAAAGCTAATCGGCCCAAAACGGAAGAGACCTGGTGGCTCTCCCCTGCCAACTCAGCCCGAGCCTCACGGAATCCGCAGCGACACCCTGACGGCTGTCTGCTTCACTCAGACCCGGCCTCCTTGCCACTGCTGGAGCCGCTCTCTTCCTCGGAAAGTTCATACTCCGCATCCTTCTCCTCCTTCTTCTCTTCGTCGTTGGTCTTGTTGGCCTGAGCATCCTTCTTCTGCTTCTTCTCTTGGTTTGTGGTCTTGTCGCCCTGAGCGATGTCCTTCGCGGCATCATCCTGGCCGTCCTTCACGGCATTCTGGCCATTGCTGGCACCTGTGTTGCGTGGCTCTGGATTGCTGTCGTGGACAGCAGGGGCCACCGAGGACGCGGGCGGAGACTGGCTCAGATCCACCACAAGCTTTTCCACGAGAAAGTCCATGAGGACCTGCGGTTTTGGGTAACCCAGTCGGTTTAAGGTTTAGGGTTTTGGGAATCCTTGCCCCCTGGCCTTGGCGTGCAGTGAGCTTCGGCAAACAGCCACCATGGTCACCTTGCTGCGCAACCCTGCAAGAAGCCCGTAGGGGTCTGGGCTCAGGAAGATGAGGCTGGACAGACGGAATGTGTGGAATAGCTCCTGATACACGACCACATGTTTGGACGCGAAGTGAAGGGGGAGCATGTCCTGGACACAAGCGTCACTGGCTTTGGCTTCGTGTCAAGCAGCAGTTGGCTTCGTGTCAAGCAGCAGTCACTCCTCGTCGGCCATGTCGTCGGGAATGGCTGGTTCAGCCGCCGTGTCCGAGATGAACTTGCCCTTGCCTTCAACCTTCAGCAGCACCTCCCAAGCGCCCGAAGCAAACCAGACCGACATGTAACACTATCTCTCTTGGCTTCGCCTGGGTTTTGATCTTCTTTGTCACTCTCGGTTCCAGCAGCACTGGGTTCGGGAGGGGGACCGGAAGCCATGGACACGTCGAGTCCGTGCCAGTCCTGCACACAGTGTAGCCCTAAACCCGGGACCCAATCATTGCTCCCAGACATGTGTGCAAGGCTGTCCCTATCCAGCGGTGTTCGCGCGCTTCCAGACTGCTGCCGCAAACAGCAAAGTGGAGAGACTCCCGGCCGACATACGCGCCCAGCGAGACCGCCTTGCGCTTGCGCCTGGCATCAGGCCTCGGCTCGATCCTCGGGGTCGGCGGTTCCTACACGAGACACTGAACCAGTGCCATGTGCACCATTTTTGCGACTGAAGCACAAATCGTCCAAAGCAGCATTGTAACGGGCCCGACGCTCAAGATCTTGTTGCTGCGGCAAGAAAAGAAAGCTCTGCAAAGTACTCTGCGCCTTCGATTTGACGATTTTCCCGAGCTGTTTTCTAATCTCGCCCTGCGCTTTGGCCGAACCCATGTCAAAGACCATGAATACGTCCTGCGTATGTCTAAAGACTGAAACTGTAAACCCCTAGAACCCAACCTGAATTGACATTTCTTGTCCTTGTCTGCTTGGGCCAGCTTCTCGAAGATCCTGCACGAGTTCGTCCTCAGAGATTCTCGAGCTACGCAGGGAATATGGTGTATAGGAAGCAGACCAGGACCTGGCACGCTCCCTCGAACCCTGCCCCCTCCGACCCTCCTTTTGAACCCTCGCCTTGAGACCCCTGCCTGGCACTTCTCCTGGGACCCCCCTCGCCCCTGACCCTCTGAGACCACCGCCAAAGCACTGTATAGGAAGCAGACCAGGACCTGGTACGCCCCCTTCCCCCCTCCTTGGCCCCCCCCTCGCCCTGACCCCCTGAGACCACACCGCCGAAGCACGGGACCCCCTCAAGACCTGCCCCTACCCGAAAAGGTTTTTCGAATTTCCTGGGCCTCGGCGGCGCGCGCAAGCGTTTTAAAATCCAACCAGCATCTTGCGGGTGAGCAGCAAAACCGGCTTTGCAAATGGAGGACTTCGTGTGAAGCAGTTGTGGTTGCGCGAATAAGCCTCACTGACCTCTGTCAGCATGGAACCGTCCAGGAGCCAGCCGCGGAGCATCTGCTCCGCATTGTCGCCGGCGGGCAGGAGCTTGTCGACTGTCCTGATTGACGAAACAATTCCCTACAACCCTAGCCCTGTCACAACATATACCCAGCCCGCCGGCGGGACGCCCCATCGAGCAAAGAAATCTCAGAGGGTCTTAGGGGCTGGTGGTCAAGGTGAGCATAGATGCACCTGACTGAATGCAAGGAGATGAAATGATTCAGCAAGGTGGAACACCCCAGCGAACAAACAAATCTCAGAGGGTCTCAGGGGCCGGTGGCTCCTCAACAACCCTTAAACGAAACCCCAAGCCGAATTTATGAAGCCAAACCCTAGACCCTAAGCAACCTGAACCCTAAACCCTAAACCCTACTAATTCCATTAATGTTTTCATTCCGAGTTCCCTTGCAGGGCGGCCTCCATGCTGCCACAATCCATGACGTCAGCAACGACGAACTTGATGTATCTAAACATCATCTTCTTCGCCACCACACGCGGGTCTTCGCGGACCTGGCCCACGTTCACGGTAGAGGTCTCTGCCTGCGGCACTGCCACGTCCTCATCTTTCCAAGCATCATCAGGCTGCGGCACATCTGGCGGCTCAATGACCATGGGCGCCGTCTGCAGCGGGGCCATGTGTGTCGCCCGGTGCCTGTCAGCACACAACGCCAGCACGTGAGGTTCAAACGATTACCAGTTCTAACTTCCAGCAGAGCGGCTCATCGATGGCTTTTTTGCAAAGCTTCTGGATCCGACTGTC